GGAAGAGATGGAGAGGAAAGGAAGGATTTATAAGGATTGGATAATCAACTAGACATGGGAGAAGAGCAAAGAGGTGTCTGTATCCACGTAAGGAATAAATGAGAGATGAAAAAGGAAGATGTAGCTGTGTACAGTTAGATTGTGAACTGTCCTGTGAACATTTAGGCAGGATAAGGAAAGTTGTATCCATTCTCTCCTACCAGCCAACCTTCCACTTTGAACCTCAGACCTAGTCTTGTCCCCCAAGAACAGGTTACAAAGAGGTGATATGACATCTCAGGGAGAGCATCCAGGAAAGTTCAGAATTGGGTTTTTTTCCCATGAGTTCATCTTGTTAGGAAGGAGTGTGTGAATGTAGACCAAGTTTACATCCTTTTCTAAATAAGAGTGACATGGAGCATTTGTGATCCAGGGCAAAATCATGCCCTCATTAGCCTCTAAGACAGGTGATAGAGCAGGTCAGCTCACCCATCTTGTATTTCCTGTAAGGAAAATGGTGTTTGAGGACCAATCTGCTAAAAGCATTTGTCGTGGAACTTGCTATATTACCAACACAGCAAAAAGTTACTTTATTCAGAATATTTCATTTTGAGCAATTTCCATATAAAACAGTTACAGGTCAGCACTTCTCTATTGAAAGGCAGGCAATTAGAATATCTGAGGCTTCATCTCATATTTAATACAAGGTCATGGGAATGTCACTGGGGGTGTTCCCAGGGCACTTAGTTCAACGTCATCATACCCAGGGTCCCCTTTCTTCCCCTGGAACAGCCAGGGACTCTCTTCTTCCCCAGGATCAGCCACCTCTCTGGAGAAGTTCAGAGAAGAGCCTGAAATAGTGAAGGGAAGTTTGATTAGAACTGAGACAAAGGGATGGGACAGAGCCCTATGGTGGAAGGGAGTCAAGCAATTGGTGATGACAAAGCATCCCTGTGACCCAGGTGTGGGCAGGGAGGCTCAGGGTATTTCACTTGAGTTACAGAGAGGATGGATCCCAGCTGTCCTCTAAGATCCAGTTCATGTGGTCTCTGGGGCCTCAGCTCATGTGGAAATCCTGCATCACAGGAGATCTATGCTCACATAGGAGCTCTTGAAGACCTGCTTCCAGGCTACACAGTACCAAGGAGATGCCCAGGAACAGTACGAATCATAAAAAGGAATTTAAATGTTCTCCTTTTACAGGTGATAGATGCAAAGTCACAATAAGAGGTAGTCTGGAGACAGGAACAATCTGAATTCCTCACTCACAAGGTCAAGTTGACTTGACCTCTGATCCCAAATGTCCACAAATAGTGTCACAGGTGCAGCCACAGATGGCCCCTCCCCAGAGACTACCCAGGCCCTCAAATGGAGAAATATTCTTTTCTAGTGAATGAGTGTCTTCTCCTGGCTACTGAAATAACTGGAGCAAATTAGAGCTTAACTGATCACAAATGCTGAGTCTATGATCCACCACCATGTTTTAATGTTAAGGTCACCGTATATCATAGACTTTGTACTTGTTGATGTTAACAAATAAACAGAGCTCATCCTAAGTTATAAAAATGCTTCACCCAATACAATACTGCAATATATTTTTTTTAAATCTCTATCTTTCATGTATCAGTTCAGTTCAGCCACTGAGTCATGTCTGACTCTTTGCCACTGAATGGACTGCAGCACTCCAGGCTTCCCTATCCATCACCAACTCCTGGAGCTTACTCAAACTCAGGTCCATTGAGTCAGTGATGCCATCCAACCATCTCATCATCTGTCAGTCCCTTCTACTCCTTCCCTCAATCTTTCCCAGCATCAGGGTCTTTTCAAATGAGTAAGTTCTTCGCATCAGGTGGCAAAAATATTGGAATTTCAGCTTCAGCATCAGTCCTTCCAATGAATATTCAGGACTGATTTCCTTTAGGGTTGACTGGTTTGATCTCCTTGCAGTCCAACAGACTCTCAAGAGTCTTCTCCAACACCATAGTTCCAAAGCATCAATTCTTTGGCACTTAGCTTTCTTTATGAATATGCTAATTAATCAATAAGTTTCTCTTTTGGCCATGACACAATGCATGTGGGATCTTAGTTCTTCAACCAGGATTGGACCTGGGCCCCAGCATTGAAAGTGCAGAGTCCAAACCACTGGACCACCAGGAAATTCCATAATCTATAAATCTTAATGCAAGTGTATCACATATAAAATGATAAGTTTATGTCACATTATGGAGACATAAATGCCAAAAGTAGAGTGATTCCTCACTCCTTGCAAGGAGTCTAACAGCATTAAAGATGGCATATGGTCAAGATGATGCTATCAAGTGTATGAGATTACCTATATTTTAAATATCTAGGGAGGCTGGGCATTGAGGAGCACAAATCCACCCTTCCCAGATAGAAAGATTTGCAGGAAATCAGCTGACCCCTCTCACCTTTCTGAGAAGACCTCACCCCATCCTCCTTCTCTGGGGGCACTTTCTCCTCTCTCCCCTGAGAGGCAGGAAGAGCCCCAGGCACTGGTACCTCTTCAGCATCATCGTAATTTTCAGCAGGGACATCAGTCCTCTGATCTGGGGGTTCCAAAAGCAGACAAGGGGGTCTGATGAAACCACAGTAAGTGGGTTGGTCTGGGAAATATCTAAGATCCCTTATGATCAAGAGATTCTGAGTTGCTAAACAGTCACTTCTTGTTTCAAAAGATTTTTTCTCTAAGACCATGTTTCATTTTGATGTACTCATAAACCTAAACATGGTTTTTATATATCTTAACATTTCCTGATGGAAGCTACATATCTCAAAGCAGCTCTTACACCATTGAACATTACTAAAGTACTTTGACAAGTTGTGCTTTTCATATGTTATTTTTTAAAACATTGTGTTCCTGTTGTGATTCTGGACACAGAGAGCCCAGTCCCAATGTGAGACATCACAGAACAGCCAGAGAAGGAGAGGGCCGAACCCTATCCGGACACAAGAAATGCCTCTGGTTCATCATGGGAGACTGTTCCCCTTGCATCTTGTCTCTATGAGGGAAACTCTCCTCCCCAAAGCCCAGCCGAGGTAGGTTCACCTCCATTACCTGGTGCAGATCTGTAGTCACTGTACTCCTCACCGTCCCTGGTGTAATATGGCAGCTTATCCACTGAGTCATCTGACAGGAAGCCTAATGTGGAGACAAACATCACACAACATACAGAATGACCATCCCCATACCTATGGGACCAGTGTTGAGGCTGAGAAGGGACAGGCCTGGCTCCTGCAGTGCAGATGGAGACTGGGGGCTCACAGGGCTAGAGAGGCCATCCTACCACTTTGGACGGCTGCCTCTGTGAGCCTGGGGCACATGTGGGGTCTGTGGGTAATGAGAAGACCCACACAGCCAGTGAGTGGTGACAACCAGAGGTCCCAGGAAGGCAGGCAGAGACACCCACCTGGGCTACCAAGAAGACCCTCCTTCCGAGTCACAAAGTCATCGAGCTCCTCATACACGGCTTCAGCAAGAGCATCTTCATGGCTAGATAAGGCTGAGAGATCCCCCAGCAGGTCAGACATGCTACCCAGACACCCCGATCCAGCTGGCCCACCTTCTTCTTCCCGGTGCTCACACAGGGCTGCCAGGACCTCAGCATGGTTTCCCACCCCTGAACCATGTCAGCACCTTCTCCCCTCATCTGACCTGAATCCACAACTCAGCCCCAACTTGTCTGGTCTCAAAGGAGAGGCCATGACTTATGAGAGTTCACACCCCAGTCCGAAGAACCTCGGTCTATACAGCCCTTAGAGCTCCACAGAGAGCACTTGGAGTCTGCAGACTCAGAACAGAGACCTGGCCCAGGTTCCCCTCCTCACACCTGCCCCATCTCCTGCCTGCACACACACTCCCTGGTCCCCAGTTCCCCTGGCAGCCCACCTCTGCGCTCTGTTCTCCATCTGAGCAGCTGAGTCACCAGGATTACAAGGACCAGGAAGAGAAGGGCCCCCAGAATGAAGCAGAGGACCCCAGGCAGGGAGAAGATGCCAGGGAGAGGATTTGAGGCTGGTCTGGTCCCTAAGGAGAACAAAGGAAGAGGGTTGGAGCAGGTCCTGGGCACAGAGAAACCCCTGTATCAGCAATTCCAGGAGCTCCAGTTGATTGAGTTCCAGCCTCAGACATTGACAGGATCCCCAGGGTCTCATCCTGAGACCAATTAACTCCACTCCGGCCAGTGTGGCTCCAAGGCAGAGCTGGGGATTGTCAGGGAGCTGCCCTGCTGAGACAGACTCTGAGGACCTGGCTCATCCCTTCCCCTTGGGCTTCAGGAGACAGAGCATCAAACAGTCCTGGGACCCACACCTAATGATGAGGAGCAACACTGAGGGGCAGGTGGGAGATACTTAGATTCTGCAATATGGAAACCAAACCCACTTGGACCCCCAGGCATGAGAACATTTGACCCTGGGAACCAACGCAGGGGATTTCCCCAAAGTAATGCCCTGGCTCCTCCCCACTAGCCATGGGCTCCTCAGGCTCTTTCCTCTCCTGAGTTGTCAGAGGGCCCACAGAACAGGTCCCCAGAATCTGAGTATTCTCCCCTGCCCGTAGATGGAGGCACAGTACCTGCTGTAGTCAGGGGCAATGTTGTCCTTGCACCTAAAGAGAAAAACAGCAGTTTAGAGCAGGGTGATTGGCCAGATGCAGGGCAAACCCATTTTTCTCTCTTGAGCCTGAACTCACCCCCCAGTGTCCACAACATCAGTGTGCAGTCCTCCCATCTCCCCCATCCGAGATCAGAGCCCCAGCACCCGGACACTCTCGGAACACAAACTCCGGGCCCCACCAGGCCCGGCCCAGCCCACTGCCGACGCGCTGCTCCAGCTCACCCAGGGCGGACCCGCGCTCCTCAATCACCAGGGCGGACCCGAGACCCTCACTCACCAGAGCACCTCACCCCGCGCCCCTCACTCACCAGGGCGGACCCGCGCCCCTCACTCACCCAGGGCGGACCCGCGCCCCTCACTCACCAGGGCGGACCCGCGCCCCTCACTCACCAGAGCACCTCACCCCGGCGTCCTCCTCGTGCTTGCAGTCGCTCTGCCCCCAGGGCCCCGCGGCACAGGCCCACAGGGAGGACTCCCGGCCCCCGCACCGCACCTCGTCCAGCCAGATGCTCCCGTTTCCAGGGCCAAACGCCGCGGCCCGCACGGCTTCCAGGGCCGGGCCACAGCCCAGCTGCTGACACACCACCTCGGCCTCTGCCAGGCTCCAGGAGTCATCGCACACGGTGCCCCAGGAGCCGCTGTGCCAGACCTCCACCCGCCCTGAGCACTCGCTGTCTCCTCCCCTGAGCCGGAGCTTCTCTCTGTCTGAAAAGGCAGCAGCCCCTCCTGTGACTCCCCTGGTGGGAGGAAGGAGCCCCTGCGGCCCTGGGGAGGGGGCGGGGCTGACGTACCTGTGCAGGGGGCAGCAGCTGGACAGCTCTGGGGTCTTCTTCCTGCAAACAACAAACAAAAGACTGGAAAATATATATAAAAGAATTGAAGCTGACAGAAATAAATACAAATTCAAAACAACAACAACACACACACCACACACACACACACAAAACATTAGGGTAAATAGTACCTGTCATAAAGTATCAAAATTTGTATATTCTTTCCAATCATCCTATCAAACCTCCTACCCACTCTTGGCAGAGAATCTCTGAGAAAATGATGGCAGGACCTCTGTGAGGGGGTTGCTCATTTTCATGGTCAAAGACTTTGCCACCTCTCAGTTCACAGGGTTTAATTGTAGGGGAAATATCATCAGTAAAAGGTCTAACAGTTTAGTGCGCTCTTTGGTCTGCAAATGGAAAAGACAAAGAGATGAACAAAGAGAGGCAAGGAAGGCAGTGAGCCTCTGCTTTGAAATATCTCTCGCCACAGTCTTAGCTGTGGGCTTGTGTATGTGGAGGGGGAGGGAAGGAGAGAAACAGAGAGAGAAATGGGGAAGGAAGTAAGGTGCTATGGTTTGACCATTTGTCGCCCTCCCCAACATTTATTTATTTCACTCAACACTAACTGTCAAAATCTCTATTCCCAATGTAACAGTATTTAATTGTGGAGCCTTCTCAAACTCTTCTGAAAACAGAAGAAAGAAACACTTCCATATTCACTTTATGAGGCCAACATTATTCTGATACCAAAGCCAGATAAGGAAACCATGAGAAAAGAAAATTATGGGCTAATGCTCTGATAAATATAAGTGCAAAAATCCTCAACAAAATATTAGAAAACTGAATTTGACAATACATTAAAAGAATCATACACCATGATCTAGTGATATTTTTTCAAAGGATGCAAGGATAGTTCAACACTCGCAAATTAATCAATGTGATACACCAAATAAGCAAAATGAAGACAAAAATCATATCCTTAAAGGATGCAGAAAAATTGACAAATTCAACATCCATTTATGGTAAAAAATTTTTTACAAAGTAGATATAGAAGTATTGCATCTCAGCATAATTAAGGCCATGTGAGAAGTTCACAACTAACTTCATACTTGACTAAAAAACCAAAAGCTTTTCCTCTGAAATCAGACACAAGACAAAAACATCTACTTTCATCACTTTTATTCAACTTAGTATTGGTAGTCTTATCCAGATCCATCAGGTAATAAAAAGAAAATCAAGACATCCAAATCTAAAAGGAAGTATCAAAAAATTGATACTCTTTCCAGATTGAAAAATGAAAGTGTTAGTCACTCACTGGAGTCTGTCTCTTTGCGACCCTAAGGACTATAGCCCACCAGGCTCCTCTGTCCATGGGATTCTCCAGACAAGAATACTGGAGTGGGTTGCCATTTCCTCCTCCAGGGGATCTTCCCGACCCAGGAATCGAACCCAGGACTCTTGCATTGCAGACAGATTCTTTACCATCAGAGTCATGAGGAAAGAAACTCCCTTACTTGATATTATATGTAGAAAACACTAAAGACTTCACCAAACATATGAGAACTAATACAATCAGTAAAGTTGTAGAATGAAAAATCTATATACAAAAATCAGTTGCATTTCTATACACTAACAACAAACTTCCATAAAGAGAAACTGAGAAAACGATTCTGTTTACATTTGCAAAAAAAATGGATAAAAAACCTAGGAATAAATTTAACCAAGGAGGTGAAAGACCTGTACACTGAAAACTATAAGACACTGATGAAAGATACTGAAGAAGACTCAAATAAATGGAAAGATATTCTGTGCTCATGGATTGGAAGATCTAATATTATTAACATGCCCATACTACCCAAAGTAATCTACAAATTCACTGCAATCCATATAAAAATTCCAATGAAATTTTCACAGATACAGAACAAACAATCCTAAAATTTGCATGGAAGCACAAAAGATGCTGAACACCAAAACAATGTTGAGAATGAATAACAAAGCTAGAGGTGACGTGCTTCCTGATTTCAAGCTATATTACAAAGCTGTATTAATCAAAACAGTATGTTGTTGGGATAAAAATGCACATAGAGATCAATGGAACAGAAGAGAGAGTCTGTAAATAAACCCACATTTCTATGGTAAATTAACTTTTGACAAAGAAGCCAAGAATATACAGTGGGGAAAAGACAGTGTTTTCAGTAAATGGCATGGGGAAAACTGGACAGCCACATGCAAAGAATGAAACTGAACCACTATCTTACATCATTCACAAAAATTAGCTCAAAATAGATGAAAGACTTGATCACAAGTCATGAAGCCATAAAATTTGTACAGAAAAAAAAAGAAAATAAAATCCTTGATGTCACTCTTTGTGATGATTTTTTGGATTTGACACCAAAAGCAAAGGGAACGAGAGTGAAAACAAGCAGTTGTGATGACATAAGGCTAAAAAGCTTCTGCCCAATTAAGGAAACCATCAACAAAATGAAAAAGCAACCTGGGGAATTGAAGAAAATATTTGCATATTATATTTCTTGTAAGGATTATTATCCAAAGTAGACAAGGAACTCAAACAACTTAGTAGCAAAAAAAATCTGATTTTTAAAAACTGGGCAGAGAATCTGAATAGACATTTTTTTTAAAGAATACATACATCTGGGAGAAGGCGAGGGTGGGATGTTTCAAGAGAACAGCATCGAAACATGTATATTATCTAGGGTGAAACAGATCACCATCCCAGGTTGGGTGCATGAGACAAGTGCTCGGGCCTGGTGCACTGGGAAGACCCAGAGGGATCGGGTGGAGAGGGAGGTGGGAGGGGGAACCGGGATGGGGAATACATGTAAATCCATGGCTAATTCATTTCAATGTATGACAAAAACCACTGCAATGATGTAAAGTAATTAGCCTCCAACTAATAAAAATAAATGAAAAAAAAATAAAATAAAATAAAATAAAATAAAATATTGTGCTTAAGCCAGAAAAAAAAAAAGAATACATACAACTTGCCAATAGGTACATGAAAACGTGCTCAACACTACTAATCATCAGAAAATGCAAATCAAAACCACAATGAGATATCACCTCATATCCTCTAGAAAGGCTTTTATCAAAAAGAAGAAATAACAGGAGTTGAGGAGAATGTGAAGAGACAGGAAAGCTTTTGCACAGTTAGAGGCAATGTAAGTTGATGCAGCCATTATGGAAACAGTTGAGGTGCATCAAAAATTAAAAATAGAACTGCCATATGATTTAGGAATTTCAATTTGGGGTATTTATCTGAAGGAAACAAAAACACTAACTTGAAAACCCAATGTTCAGTGCAGCAACATATGTTCAGTTGCTAGGTTGTGTCTGACTCTTTACAACCCCATGGACTGCAGCACACCAGGCTCCTCTGTCCTTCACTATCTCCCAAAGTTTGCTCAAATTCATGTCCACTGAACTGGTGATGCTATCTAACTATCTCATCCTCTGTGGCCCCCTTCTTCTTTTGCCTTCAGTATTTCCCAGCATCAGGGTCTATTCCGATGAGTCAGCTCTTCTCATCAAGTGGCGAAAGTACTGGGGCTTCAGCTTCAGCATCAGTCCTTCCAAAGAATATTCAGGGTTGAATTCCTTTAGGGTTGATTGGTTTGATCTCCTTGCTGCCCAAAGGACTCTCAAATCAATTGTGGTGTCCAAGCATCACAATTCAAAATCATCAACTCTTTAGCATTCAGCTTCTTTATAATCCAACTCTCACATCCACACATGACTAATGGAAAAAACATAGCTTTGACTATATGGACCTTTGTCAGCAAAGTGATGTCTTTGCTTTTTAATACTTTGTCTAGATTTGTCATAGGTTTCCTTCCAAGGAGCAAACCTCTTTAAATCTCATAGCTGAAAACAGCATTGGCAGTGATTTTGGAGCCCAAGAAAAGAAAATCTGTCACTGTTTCCACTTTTTCCCCTTTTATTTGCATGAAGTGAGGGGCCAGATGCCATGATCTTAGTTTTTAGAATGTTGAGCTTTAAGCCAGCTTTTTCAGTCTCCTCTTTCACCCTCAACAAGAGGCTCTTCAATTCCTCTTCACTTTCTGCCATTAGAATGGTATCATCTGCATATCTGAGGTTGTTGATATTTCTCACAGCAATCTTGATTCCGGCTTTTGATTCTTCCAGCCAGGCATTTCCCATGATGTACTCTGCATATAAGTTAAATAAACAGGGTGACAATATACAGCCTTAATGAACCCCTTTCCCTATTTGGAACCAGTCGGTTGTTTCACATCCAGTTCTAACTGCTGTTTCTTGACCTGCATACAGGTTTCTCAGGAGGCAGGTAAGGTGGTCTGATATTCTCATCTCTTTAAGAATTTTCCACAGTTCCTTGAGATCCACATGGTCAAAGACTTTAGTGTAGTCGGTGAAGCACATGTTTTCTGGAATTCTCTGGCTTACTCTATGATCGAACAAATGTTGGCAATTTGACCTCTGGTTCCTCTGCCTTTTTGAAATCCAGCTTGTACATCTTGGAAGTTCCCAGTTCACTTACTGCTGAAGCCTAGCTTGAAAGACTTTGAGTATAACCTTGCTAGCATGTGAAATGAGCACAACTGTGCTGTAGTTTGAACATGTTTTGGCATTGCCCTTCTTTGAGATTGGGATGAAAACTGACCTTCTCCCGTCCTGTGGCCACTGCTGAATTTTCCAAATTTGCAGACATACTGGCCTCAGCACTTTAACAGCATCATCTTTTAGTATTTTATAGCAATACTTACAAGAGCCAAACAATGTAAGTCTTCACTGATGGATGAATGAATAAAGAAAATGTAATGCAGATAGATATCCACCCATAAAAAAGAAGAAAATCTTGCCAGTTTCAACAACATGGATGGACCTTGAGGGCATTATGCTAAGTGAAACAAATCAGACAGAGAAAGGAAAACAATATATGATCTCATTTATATGTGTAATCTTAAAGCAAAAAGCAAGTTCAGAGATGCTGAGTAATTCGTGGCTGCCAGAGGTGGGGGATTTGGTATGGGCAAAGGTAATCAAAAAGTATAAATGTAAGTTATAAAATTAATAAGTTAAGAGAGCATGGTGACCATAGTGAATACCATATTGTCTATTTGAAAGATGGTGAGAAAATATATCTTAAACATTCTAATCCTATAAGAAAAATATTTAGCTACATATATGGTGATGGATACAATTAGACTTACTGCAGTGATCATTTATCAATATACAAAAATACATAACCATTATGTTGCAATGGCAAACAATATAAAGTTATGTCAATTATATCAAAATTTTTTAATAAAGCAAGTTTGAAATATGTGGATCAAATTAGCTCCATCCAAACTTCATTTTATAAACTCAACTTAAACACATCACTTAGATTTTAAAATATCAAATCTCACTAATAACATCCTATGGGGTTGGGATAGACACAGGAACAGATGTAAGTCACCTGCACATGAGATGTAGGCTTCCTCCTTTGGAGAGCATGAACTGTATTTCCATGGGTCAGAAGGACACTGCCAGAGAGAGGTATCTGTTTTCCGACATTGGATTAAATCTACCCACCGGGGTCTAGAACCTTCCCTAAGTCCAACAGAAGAGTTGAGGGTTCCACTGTCCCCACAGCCAAGCTGACTGCAGATGATGGACACGGTGACATCATCCATGGGGCTGCGGCAGACACTGCCCCAGGTCCCGTTGTAAAAAACTTCCAGCCACCCAGCACACTCCTGGTCCTTGCTGACCATCCTGAGGGCCAGGAACTCTAAGATTGAAAGAGAGGAGACAGGACACAGTGAGCACTGCAGTCAGTGCTCTGGGTTTTCCTCTCCCCCCAAAATTGTGAACATTCATCTTTGACCCAGCTGAGGAAGTAAATCCATTAGATGACCAGAGTGAAACTTGTCTCTTTTCTATCCGACTTTGTCCGTTTGTGTCTGTCTTTCTAAATAATTCTACCACCATGATGTGGTGGATATGAACTGAGAGGAAGACCAACCTGGACACCTGAAGGGGGAGGGAGCTGACTCCTGCTTCCTGACAAAACATCTAAAAGAGTGTATGAAAGGGATGTGATGTAGACAGTGTGGAGGCAGATAGAATAATGGACCTGTATTTAGAAAGATGGTAATGATAACCCTATATGCAAGACAGAAAAAGAGACACAGATATATAGAACAGACTTTTGGGCTCTATGGGAGAAGCTGAGGGTGGGATGATCTCAGAGAACAGCATCGAAACATGTATACTATCAAGTGTGAAACAGATCACCAGTCCAGGTTGGATGCATGAGACCAGTGCTCAGGGCTGGTACACTGGGATGACCCAGAGGGATGGGATGGGGAGTGAGGTAGGAGGGGGGTTCAGGATGGGGAACACATGTAAATCCATGGCTGATTCATGTCAATGTATGGCAAAAACCACTACAAGGTTGTAAAGTAATTAGCCTCCAACTAATAAAAATAATTGGGAAAAAATAAATAAATAAAAAATAAAAGATAAAAATATTACCCTAAGCTGACTAAGAAAAGTATGAATCCTAAAACTATAATAAAGATGTATATATATATATACACACACACACATACATAAAAAAAAAGAATAATGGACCTGTGACTGTTCCTTATCTGGCAAAGGGGACTTTTGATTAAGGTAAGGACCTTGGGATGGTGAGATTAACCTGAAATATGGTGGATTAACCACCTGAGCACAGCCTAATCACATTCTTAGACTCACTATCCTTTAAAGTGGAATACTTTTCCTCATTCTGGCTAGAGGGACATGTGAATATGGATAATGGTTAGAGAGGTTGAGCATTGCTGGTCTGAAGATGAACAGAATGGAGTTATGAGTGAAGGAAGGTAGGAGGGTTTTAGAAGCTTGAAAAGACAGGAAACAGATTCTTTCCCAGAGGCTCAGAAGTTATGTAACCCTGCTGAAACCTTGATCCCAGTCCAGCAAGATCCCTGCTGGATATCTAAGATACAGAAGTGTAAGGAAATAAATGTGTTATTTTAAACCATTAACTATGAGGCAATTTGTTACAGAACAAACAAAAACTAGCACCGTGGCTTTAAGACTTCTCTACCATATGTACCAGAAGAGTGAGCCCTGATTTCAAGAAAAACTGTGAGAAAAGGCTCTGCCAGGGAACACTATTGAGAAGAAAGGACCAGATCGTCACCTGCTGCAGGAGGAAATGAAAGCACCTCATCTTCTTGTCTGCTGGAGAGATGGGCTCCATGGGAGGAAGCCTCCTTCTCAGGTCCTTTCAGCATCTCTCCCTCAAGGCACAGACCCCCCTCCTCTGGCGCCCACTCTCCCCATTCCCTAGCCTGTGGACAGTGTGCAGTGCGGACCTGAGCAGATGACTCCCGCGTCCTCCTTGTGTCTGCAGTCGTGTTTCCCCCAGCCCCGGGAAGGGCACCTCCACACGTGGGACTCCTTTCCTGTGCAGTTCAGGTCGTCCAGCCAGATGGGCCCTGATCCTGCCCCAAAGTGAGCAGACCCCGTGGCATTGAGGGCGTCTCCACACCCCAGCTGCCTGCACACCACGTGGGCATCGTCCAGGTCCCAGCCGTCATCACAGATGGTGCCCCAGGAGCCCTGGTCAAGGATCTCCACTCTCCCGGCGCAGGGACCACCGCCGTCCACCAGGCGGAGCTGTCTGCTGCCTGAGGAGAGAGAAATGGGACAATGGGGCGTAGACCTGGAGAATGAGAAGGGTCTTCTGTCCTATGGGACCCTCACCTGAGAAGTAGGGAGCGCTCTCCTCTGAGGCTGCAGACCCTGCTGGTTCAGACGCGGAGTCATTGCACTGAGGCAGCACCTGGGTCTGATTTCCTGAAGAAACAGCAATAATTAGAGGGTTGGGAAGGTTGAACAACAGGACACTCAGTTAAACTAAATAATTTTTAGGAGGGGAGGGTAATTTGGGGGGAAATGGATACATGTATTTGTATGGCTGAGTCCCTGGCTATTCACCTGAAACTATAGTTAACACTGTTAATCAACTATAACCCAATACAAAGTAAAAATTTCAAAAGAAAAAATAAATAAATAAATAACGACCTAGTGATGGAGCTGAAATGAAAGCTGCGACATACCATTAAAGTTATCATTATCTTACCGCTTCCTTTCTCTATGAGGAGCCCTGGTACTGACAAGGTCACAATTCCTGTTTTAAGCCAAGCTTTGCCTTAAAAATGGGTTTAAATAAGTTGGTCTCGCCTTAAATATATCCCTTAAATAGAAGAAGCAAAACAAGATCCTTTCTGAAGGATTTGTACAATTTTTTATCTACAATGTTTGTGTTTTAAAAAATATGTCTGTAAAAGAGATCTCGTGGAAAACCAAGAGGAAAAAGAAACATAAAAAAATTTCCCAGGGTATTTGGCTGTTAGAGTTACCCAACAGAGAATTTATTTTATTTATTTTTATTAACTTGTATTTGAGTATAATTGTTTTACACTGTTGTGGTAGCTTCTGCTATACAGCAAATTTAGTAAGTTATACATATACATATGGGCTTCCTAGGTGACTCAGTGGTAAAGAATCTGCCTGTGAAACAGAAGACTGGGGTTCCATCCCTGGGTTGGGAAGATCCCCTGGAGAAAGAAATGGCAAACCACTTCAGTATTCTTGCCTGGGAAATACTACGGACAAAGAAGCATGGCGAACTGCAGTCCAAGGGGTCACAAAAGAGTTGGACACAACTCAGCAACTAAACAATAGCAACAACACACACACACACACACATACATATATACATATATATATATGTATATGTATGTATATATATGTATATGTATATCCCCTCTTTCTTGGATTTACTTCCTATCTAGGCCACCACAGAACACTGAGTAGCGTTCCCTGTGCTGTACAATAGATTATAATGTGTGTGTGCGTGCTAAGTCACTTCAATCATGTCTGACTCTGTGACACTACGGATTGCAGCCCATCAGGCTCCATGTCTATGGGATTTGCCAGGCAATATCTATTTTATACTTAGTACCAATAGTGTAGGGCTTTTGAGTCTGGTGGCTCATATGGTAAAGAATCCGCCTGCAATGCAGGAGACCTAGGTTTGATCCTTGGGTTGGGAAGATCCCCTGGAGAATGGCATGGCAACCCACTCTGCTATTCTTTCCTGGAGAATCCCCATGGACAGAGGAGCCTGGAGGGCTATGGTCCATGGGGTCACAAAGAATTGGACACGACTGAGGGACTAAGCACAAAGCATAGCACATCAATAGTATGTATATGTCAATCTCAACGTCCCAATTCATCCCACTCTTCATTTCCCCTCTTAGTGTCCATATATTTGTTATCTTTGTGGCGTTTCTATTTCTGCTTTGCATTAGGTTCATCTCTACCATTTTTCTAGATACCACATATAAGTGATGTTATACAATATTTGTTTTTCTCTTTCTGATTAACTTCACTCTACATGACAATCTCCAAGTCCATCCATGTCTGTGCAAATGACATAACTTTTTTTTCTTTTTATGGCTGAGTAATATTCTATTTTATATATGTATCACGTCTTCTCTATCCATTCCTCCTGTGAGGGACATTTAGGTTGCTTCTGTGTCCTGACTGTTGTAAATAGTGCTGCAGTGAACATCAGGATGAATGTGTCTTTTTGAATAATGATTTTCTTCAGGTATATGGCCAAGAGTGGAATTGCTGAGTTCTATGATAGTTCTATTTTTAGTTTTTTGAGGAACCTCCATACTGTTCTCCATAGTAGTTGTACCAATTTACATACCCATAGTAGGAGGATTCCCTTTTCTGTGCATTCTCTCCAGCATTTATAGTTTGTAGATTTTTAATGATAGACATCCTGACTGGTGTGAAGTAATACCTGACTGTAGTTTTGAATTGCATCTCTCTAATAATTAGTGATGTTGAACACCTTTTCATACATTTGTTAGCCATCTGTATGTCTGGAAAAACATCTATTTAGGTCTTCTTCCCATTTTTTCATTGGATTGTTTCGTTTCCTGATATTGAGTTGTTTGTGTATTTTGAAGATTAATCCCTTGTCAGTTGCTTCATTTGCAAATATTTTCTCCCATTCTGAGAGTTGTATTTTTGATGACCATTGTCTACTACTGTGGGCAAGAATCCCTCACAAGAAACGGAGGAGCCATCATAGGCAACAAAAGAGTCTGATATGCAGTACTTGGATGCAATTTCAAAAACTACAGAATGATCTCTGTTCATTTCCAAGGCAAACCATTCAGTATCAGGGTAATCCAAGTCTATGCCCCAACAAGTAATGCTGGAAAAGCTGAAGTTGAATGGTTCTACGAAGCACTTACAAGATTCTCTAGAACTAACACCCAAAAAAGATGTTCTTTTCATTATAGGGGACTGGAGTGAAAAAGTAGGAAGTCAAGAAACACATGAAGTAACAGGAAAATTAGCCATTGGAGTACATAATGAAGTAGGACAAAGGCTAACATACTTTTGCCAAGAGAACACACTGGTTATAACAAACACCCTCTTCCAACAAGACAGGAGAAGACTCTACACATGGACATCACCAGATGGTCAATAAAGAAATCAGATTGATTATATCCTTTTCAGCCAAAGATGGAAAAGCTCTATACAGTCAGCAAAAACAAGACCAGAAGCGGACTGTGGCTCAAATCATAAACTCCTATTGCTAAATTCAGACTTAAATTGAAGAAAGTAGGCAAAAACACTTGACCATTCAAGTATGATCCAGATCAACTCCCTTTCGATTATACAGTGGAAGTGAGAAATAGCTTTAAGGGTCTAGATCTAATAGAATGCCTGATGAACTATGGGCGGATGTTCATGACATTGTACAGGAGGCAGTGAGAAAGACCATCCCCAAGAAAAAGGAATGCCAAAAAGCAAAATGGCTGTCTCAGGAGGCCTTACAAATAGCTGAGAAAAGAAGAGAAGCAAAAAGCAAAGGAGAAAAGGAAAGATATACCCATTTGAATGCAGAGTTCCAAAGAATAGCAAGGAGAGATAAGAAAGCCTACCTCAGTGATCAATGCAAAGAAACAAGTAAACAATAGAATGGGAAAGGCTAGAGATCTCTTCAAGAAAATTAAAGATACTAAGGGAATATTTCATGCAAAGATGGGCTCAATAAAGGACAGAAATGGTATGGAGCTACCAGAAGCAGAAGATATTAAGAAGAGGTGGCAAAAATACACAGAAGAATGGTACAAAAAAGATCTTCATGACCCAGATAATCACGATGGTGTGATCACTCACCTAGAGCCAGACATCCTGGAATGTGAAGTCAAGTGGGCCTTAAGAAGCAGCACTATGAACAAAGCTAGTGGAGGTGATGGAATGCCAGTTGAACTTTTTCAAATCCTAAAAAATGATGCTGTGAAAGTGCTGCACTCAATATGTCAGAAATTTGGAAAACTCAGCAGTGGCCAGAGGACTGGAAAAGGTCAGTTTTCATTCCAATCCCAAAGAAAGGCAATCCCAAAGAATGCTCATAGTATTGCACAATTGCACTCACATCACACTCTAGTAAAGTAATGCTCAAAATTCTCCAAGCCAGGCTTCAACAAAACATGAACTATGAACTTCCAGATGTTCAAGTTGGTTTTAGAAAAGGCAGAGGAACCAGAGATCAAATTACTAACATCCATTGCATCATTGAAAAAGAAAGAGAGCTCCAGAAACACATCTATTTCTGCTTTATTGACTATGCCAAAGCCTTTGACTGTGTGGATCACAACAAACTGTAGAAAATTCTTTAAGAGATGGGAATACCAGGCCACCTGATCTGCCTCTTGACAAAGCTGTATGCAGGTCAGGAAGAAACAGTTAGAACTGGACATGGACTGTTTACCATAGCCAGGACATGGAAGCAACCTAGATGCCCATCAGCAGACAAATGGATAAGGAAGCTGTGGTACATATACACCATGGAATATTACTCAGCCATTAAAAAGAATTCACTTGAATCAGTTCTAATGAGATGGATGAAACTGGGGCCCATTATACAGAGCGAAGTAAGCCAGAAAGATAAAGACCATTACAGTATACTAACACATGTATATGGAATTTAGAAAGATGGTAACAATAACCCTATATGTAAAACAGAAAAAGAAACACAGATGTATAGAACAGACTTTTGGACTCTGTGGGAGAAGGCGAGGGTGGGATGTTTCAAGAGAACAGCATTGAAACATGTGTATTATCTAGGGTGAAACAGATCACAAGCCCAGGTTGGATGCATGAGACAAGTGCTCGGACATGGTGCACTGGGAAGACCCAGAGGGATCGGGCAGAGAGGGAGGTGGGAGGGGGGATCAGAATGGGGAACACATGTAAATCCATGGCTGATTCATATCAATGTATGACAAAACCCACTACAATATTGTAAAGTAATTAGCCTCCAACTAATAAAAAAAGAAAAATAAATAAATAAATTATAAAAAAAGAACTGGACGTGGAACAACAGGCTGGTTCCAAATAGGAAAAGGAGTATGTCAAGGCTGTATATTGTCACCGTGCTTATTTAACTTATATGCAGAGTACATCATGCAAAATGCTGGGCTGGATGAAGCACAAGCTGGAATCAAGATTGCCACAAGAAATATCAATAACCTCAGATATGCAGATGATACCACCCTTATGACAGAAAGTGAAAAACTAAAGAGCCTCT